ACGTTACCTTTATGTTTGTTATACTGTGAAGCTCGCTAGTCTACATTTTGTTCGGTTTTATATCCTTCTACAGTGGAATCAGGGCTGCCAAAGTTGGTACTTTCGTATAAAATTGATACAATTGGTCCTTGTCGAGCAAAAGTGTACTTTTCGTACCACGCCCGATGTTTAGGTATGTTTCAGAAATTGTGCATCTTCTTATTCTTTACGTCTTCCTTTACCACTTGGGGTATCGAGAGAGAGAGAGAGAGAGAGAGAGAGAGAGAGAGAGAGAGAGATGTAAGGTCCAGTTTCGTGCTCTTCTAGCTGCTTTGACCATAGACATATCATCGTGCTGTAGAGTTTCTCTGATATTATCTTCCATATTGTTCTTGGTCTACCTCTTGCTCTATGTCCCTCTCCTCTTTTGGTATGTTCCTTGTAAGGTATAGCATCATAATTGTTCATCGATATTTTAAACTCAGTATTGGCACTGTACCCTGGATCCATTGAGTGTTACTGAATGAAGACTGACAGCATGCACCACACAGTGTCATTGCTGAGGTTGGCAGCAGGCATGTCAAACCGGTTGCCCGCGCTCCGAATGCGGCAATTTGCAAACACACCTGCGGCCCGCACAAAATAAAAATTCAACAATTTTTTTTTCTTCAAATTATTAAATGACTTAAATTAGTTGTCGTGCGTGGGTCCTATGACGACAACATTTGAACCACATGGCCCTCGAGGAAGCCTCGTTTGACATGCCAGTTGTAAAGGATGCTACTGGCTTTGCTAAAACTGTAGTCTTTGTTAATTTTACGAGGCCTAGGGAAAAGCGTTCTGTTTGGTCATCACTGGAACAAGAATGGAGGAACTATGGGATCATTCGGTGGCTGTGGGAGTTGGAACTGTGACTGCGTGATTACCAGAGGAAACTAGGATGTGTAAAGAAAACCATACAGGAATGAGAGGTCGCGGCTGCTGCATTCGATTCCGTCCATGATACTGAAACAAGCGTATAGAATAGAAGGAAATGGAGGAGTTAACTGCAACATCTACATAACGTATAAACAGGATATTATATATATATATATATATATATATATATAATATATATATATATATATATATATATATATATATATATATATATATATATATATATATATATATATATACATGGCTTAAGCGTTGCGAATTATATATATGTATATATGTAAGTTAGTTCCCCGTGTGGGTTCCGGGGCCCCATCGTGGGGCGGGACAACAAGAATAGACCCACTGCCTGTCCAAAAGCAAGTCGAAAGAGTCGACTAATTGGAGCTTCCTTCAAAGTCGGAGTACATCTGCCTGGGTGCAGGGAACCAACAGTCTGCATGCAAATGAGTCAGAAATGTTAATCTGATGTACTCGCAACACACAGGTTCTGGAACAGGACTGGAGTCCAGAAGTGGACGAACAACCATAACTTTTGCCGGAGTTTGCAGCTGGTGAAGGCGAAGAAGGAGAAGTAGTAGATAGGTTAGTCCTTTACAGGACGTTGCAAAACCTACTCTAGCATTTGCTGACTGTTG